GACGACCCGCTCTGCCTCTGCACTGTGTCTGTGTCTGTGACAACCCAAACCCCTTTGCACTACCTGTTTCTGGACTACTTCTTGAAGATAAGATGCATGTACCATGTTGATGCTGAAATTATAATATTTATTTATAGAGCAGTTTCAAAACCCACGATACAAAAAATAAAACACGTCACAAAATGATCAAATTTGAAAGGAAAAATTTTTTTTTTCAACTATTTTGATAATCACTCATAAAACACTCATATATAGAGTATTTGCTGTTTTTTCTGTTTTTAACTTAACCCTAACAGCTTGCAAACTAACTTTTATCGGTACCAGCTTCTTATTTGTGTTTCTACTGTATTTTGCAAACTGTGACAATTTTGCAAACTGCTTTAGATATCTGCCATTAAAAAGGCAAAAATATGGGCCAACAGTGTAATTGTATGTGCTGTTTAGAAGGGCAGTGAGGAAAATGATTGTGGGACAAACAACAATAGAAAAAGTGTAGCTGATACAGGTTTTTATATGCCGAAGGAGAATCCAGAGCACTTCTGGCACCATTGTTGTGTCAGAGTCTGTTTTCCCATTGATTTGTTTTCTACTCACCTTTACATTAATCCAACCACATCCCTGTAGGGAAACTAGATAGCAATTCTCAAGATATGGCACAGTCCTAATTTTAAAACAATCGACCCTTCCTAAGTCCCGCCCCTTTTTGCTCTGTGCTCCAATAGTTGAGCAAGTCTCAGTCGGAACCTTGGTCAACATTCTCCTTTCCTGTATTTAGTTATGCTATTTGCTAGGCTAATCTATGTTGAAAAGACAAACACAGTTTGAAGATTGTTAAAAGATAAAAGCGACATAGTCACCAGGATTCCCACACGTCCTCGAAACCCTGGAAATTTAGAAACTAGTTTTCCAGTCATGGAAACACCTGGAAATTGATTTAAATTACCAAATATCCTGGAAATGATCTATGTTGTCCTGGAAATTTTTGATTGTATTTTAGCCTGTGCTGTGGCCAAATTAATGTTGCAGTAAAACTATAGTCCGTTTGAAATGAGGAAAAACACCCAAGCACACCACAAAAACTAGCCTTAAATGATGATTACCTATGGCTGACCACCATCTTCAAAATGTGCTTGTCTTTTCAACATATTTTAGCCTAGCACATAAAGAAAGTTGACTGAGGTTCTGACATATGCTTGCTCACTGTTTTTGAAGCACAAAGCAAAAAGGGGCGGGACTTAGGAAGGGTTTCCCACATCAGCACATCGCAGCTAGGGTGGGTGTCATTTCATGCGTGTCAAATGAGGTGACGCTGTGGGTCCAAAGGTCCAAAGCTCAAAAGCATGTTGAACTTGGTAGTTTTTTTTTTGGTTTGTTACAATGAATTTTAATGTTTCTATAATCTTTTTCTTTTTGTCTGTTTTTCCCTGCCCTGCACTGTTTGTTGTATCCTCATGTCTGCTAGACACTGCAAATTATTCTTCTCTACCTTTTGCTTTCTAAATGCTGAACCCTCAACTCCTTCTGAATGATCCCCCTCTCCCCAAATTCTAACATGGACTCGGATATGTTGGTTTGTCCAACATATGTTTGCCATTTTAGTATTGAGTATTGGTTGTCCTTGTTGATACAGATGCAGTACTATATTGGTGGTCACTGTTGTTTTGTTTGTTGTAGTCTTGCGATGAGACGACACATCTGTTTGACCTATCAGCACTGCTGTAGATGCCTGGAACTTACAGTTCAGTATGGTAAATGGTAAATGGACCTGTACTTGTATAGCGCCTTTCCAGTCTTCCGACCACTCAAAGCCACATTCAC